ATGTGTCCATCTGGGATAGGTGAGGTAAGGTGTGGGGGGTGAGGGGGTGGAGGGGGTGAGGGGTGAGGGGGGGTGAGGGAGGGTAAAGGAGGGGCAGGGAGAGCGGGGTGAGGATCCGTTACTGCTACCAAGGGACGCATTCGTGATATTTGGCCCTTCCTTACCCTCCCTCACCATTCCTCACCCTCATCCTCGTTCAAGCTCCCTCCCTTACCCTCTCTCACCCTTCCTCACCCTCTCTCATCCCCATTCACTCTCAGCCTCCCTCCCTCACCCACCCTGACTCCCAGCTTCTGTAGTTGCCAGTCTAAGCCTTTACTTTATCTTAGGAGATCTTGTACACCAGCAAGGCAGGAACCATCTGGAGGGCGTTACCAGGACGTGAAAAGTGGAGGGGGGGGAGAGGAAGGAGTTGGAGAAAGCGAGGGGTCAGGGAAGGGGGTAGGGGGTTTAGGGAGGTGACCTTGATGGGGAGGGAACACAGGAGAGGCAGACGTCGACGTCACCAGCTAACGCCCGCCCACACTGCCACATATTTCATCACGCTTCGCTGCTCTTCTGTTTGTTGTGTTGTTTACGATCGACTGTGACGTTCACCCCCTCCCCCGGTTGTTGGATCTCAGCAACTGGGTGAGAGATAATGTATTTTATCTATGTTTACCATGTATGTGTCTCAGTTAACGTGTGTTCCTCACTTACCACCGACAATCACCAGCATCTCGTTATTTCTTCAGGTCTTATAATTGAGGTTTTTCTTCTCGGGCAGACTGGAGCAAGACGTCTATAAGTGCCTCGACACGTCCAGGCCACCGTCAGTCTCGCTCCATAAAATAGGGGAAGAATAACCAGCCAATTTACCGTCAAACCTGCCTCACCGACCTGGCCACCAGAGTACCACAGTCTGGCCCCTCACCGGCCTGGCCAACAGAGCACCACAGTCTGGCCCCACACCGACCTGGCCAACAGAGCACCACAGTCTGGCCCCACACCGACCTGGCCAACAGAGCACCACAGTCTGGCCCCACACCGACCTGGGCCAACAGAGCACCACAGTCTGGCCCTCACCAGACCTGGCCAACAGACACCACAGTCTGGCCCCCACACCGACCTGGGCCAACAGAGCACTGACAGTCTGGCCCCTCACCGACCTGGGCCAACAGAGTACCACAGTCTGGCCCCCACACCGACCTGGGCCAACAGAGCACCAAAGGCCAGTTTGGCCCCCACACTCACTGCACCTCAACTTAAAATCATTAATAATAATACACACACACAATTATAGTGCTCAGTGATTTATGATCATTAGTGTACTTGTGACGCTTCTTGACCCACTTCCTGTGTATATTTCTCGGGGGGGGGGGGTGAGGAGGAGGGGGAAGGTCGCTTCATGTACGACCACGCTACTCTCTCTCACCCCTCTCCCCTCCTTACTCCCCCTCCCCCTTACTTCTCCACCCCTCAAATCACCCCCGTCCAATGCTGTACTTAAAAAAAATCTAGTCAGAATAATGA